CTGGCTGCCTGGTAAAAGCAGTGGAGACGGCGGCCCAGCGCGAGGCGTTCATCGTAGGGAAGCCCAACCGGTACATGTTTGACTGCGTGGCGAGCGAGTTCAACATTGACCCTGCCCGTACCATCATGGTGGGAGATCGACTGGACACGGACATCCTCATGGGCAACAGCTGCGGCCTCACCACCCTGCTCACGCTCACCGGCGTCAGCACGCTGGACGAGGTGAAGGGCCACCAGGAGAGCGACTGTCCCGCCAGGCAGAGCCTGGTGCCCGATTACTACGTCGACAGCATCGCCGACCTTCTCCCAGCGCTGGGAGATTAACGCAATAAAACGCTTGCAGCCCTGGTCCCCCGAGGAGGGCTCCTGTTAATCACCTCGGGACAGCAGCGCACTCGCTAGGATAGCACCCGGGGGTAGCAACCCTGAGCTTTTTAATCTTCCTGTCATTTCTGTATGATTTTGTTTACATCTCAGTCTTTAAATGCACTTTGAAACAAAGAGGGCATTATGATGGCGGCCGAGCTGCGGAGGCTTTTCTTTTTTAAATAATGAGCGCCGCATCTATCCAAATGTTTGTGAGGCTCGAAGTCATGTTTGTCCTCTAGACTGAGTTGAGGAAAGTAGAGCTGGTTGATCTGAGGAGAAGAACCCAACATCTGGCGACCTGTCCTCGCCCGTGCAGGCTGTGGCTCAGTCTGGTTTATTCAGGGAAATGTCTCTTGGGGTGTGTAGTAGCTTAGGGGCTGTGCTTGCAAGCGCTTGCAGCCGCTGGCACAATTAGTGTTTGGCCTTAGATTAGTGGGGGTTTTGGTTGTTTTTTGTTTTTATGGGATCCTGTTGAGCAGCACGGCCTACTGCTATTGCGATGTCGAGTCAGAGGTCCCAAAATCCGTCTCCTTTATTTGACTTGAAAATTGCACTTATGATGCAGGCTGGGATGATTCCACTAGCAAAATAACAAACTGTGTCTTCTGTGTTTGAGCGCTGGGTGTATGTGTAGAGTACATGTACATACAAGAACTACCCTGATCCTAAATATATATCAGAATATATTTAAATAAGAAACTTAAGCATAGTATATGATAATATATCTTGTTTTCCAGAAGGGAAGATGAGAGGAATGTACTTCACTGATCACAGTAGGCTTCATTTTCCTGAACTTTTGCGTTTGGTGATGCAGAAAGTGTGTAACCACGTAGGACTGTCCCTCACTGCTGCTGCTTCCCACAGATAACTGGATCGATTAGTACCGAGTTAGTCCTCGTGCTTCCCTCAGCTCGCCTTGGCTTTTGCTGCAGAACGTGGCAGCGCTCGGCCCGTGGGGGGTGGGCGTGGCGCAGCTCTAGCGTGGCTCCCACCGAAATGATCCGGCGTGTGCCGATGGCACGGGCTTCCTTTCGATACCCGAGCTTCGTATCTTCCACGTGTGCCTGGCGCCTTGGCGCCTGGCACCAGCTGCTCATCCGAAGAGGAGCATTTGCTTGCTCGGGTGGGGTTTTCTGAGGCTGGCTGAATCGAAGGCCACTGTAGAAAGCTTTTTGCATTGCAGAATTAAGTGAAAAGTTAGATATGCAAATAAGATGCTTCTGTTCCATAGATTCCACTATCAGCAGTTAAATTTAAACACTGGCTCAGCTGCCTCTCCGGCTGTGTGGCTGCGTAGCTCCAGCAGCGCGTCGATGCCGTTCCCTCCTGCTCAGACACTCGGAATGAGTCGATTTGCCACCTTGTCTGGACAGCAACAACTGCCCCGTTTGTGGCGTCTTTCGGTGTTACCACAACATTAACTGGTTTTGTTAAACGGGTGTTCAGCTGTAGCTCGGAGCTGTGTCAGGAAGCACGGACAACCTCTTCCCGGTTCCTGTCTCCACCCCGAAGGTTTTGACTGTGCAAAGCTGCAGAGGAATTCTTACAGGTAGAGCTTTGGCTTTATCTGGGTAATGTGGAAACGGACATTATGGATTTAGTGCAGGTGGGGTCCAGCTTAGCGACGTGTCCTTTGGTTCAGTTCTGTATCTGGTGCTTTAATTTCAGAATATGTCAAGTAAAGCACTAAACACCGGGAGGGGCGCTGGGCTGCAACCAAGCAGCGCTGTTCCTGCTGGGTGCTGTCCCCTGTGCGAGGGACCCGTTACCTCGATCCGTGTATGCTGAAATGTGGTGGTGAAGGTGTCAAATCGTGTTTCAAAACTGTAACTTCCAAATGGTTTTTAAGCCTCTACTTGAATTCACATTAAACTTAGAAATCTGCTTTCCCCTGGCATCGTCTTCCATTGTGGTCTCTGTGAGCTTCGCCGCGGTTGTGCTGCGTGGGAATTCCGGGAGCTTGGGACGCAGTTTGTGTTTATTATCTTTACTCCTTATGAGCAGCATCAAGGAAAGAAACCCCAGCTCTGGAGTTTATTTCTGTGGTTCGGATGCCCGGAGCTGTGCGGGGCTCTTAGCGTGGGCCGGGGTTTCCTCCTTTAAGAGCACACGCAGCAGAAGCAGAAGGCGATAATCCTGTCACAAACAAGGGGGTTGTTTCTCTCCTGTGCCTTGCGTCACAGAATCACAGTTTGCGTCTCACAGAAGCAACGTGCTGGGAGAGGCGGAGATCCTCTGCTGAAATAGCTCCTGTTTGACCTGCAGAAGGAGAGAGGGTGAGCACAGAGTGGGGGGCACTAGCGATTTGATGACGACAGACTCCCGAACAAGCTGCCCTCTTGGCTGAGTTTGATGGGTCACAGACCGTGCTTGATGCGAAAACATCTAGAAGCTGTGTATTTCCTTGATAGATACCACGTGAAGGAATTCTGCTGAGCTTTTCCATGCCTCCGTTCAGTTGGTTACATCTGTGGGTTACATCCCAAACCCACAGAGCTCTCTTGGGGGCTCCTGGTCTGCTCGGGAAAACCACGATCGGGGGACGTCGTGCCCTGCCACTCTGTTTCTTGCCACAGGACGTGGGTGCTGCAATGACTTTGCAGCAGAGATTCTTTATGCCGGGCTCTGAAGAAGCGAGGTCCATCGGGGGGACGCAAGCACGCCTGTGCAGGTGAGGCTGACGGGGCGGCATGGAGCTCCAGCAGCACAAAGTTCACGTTGAAATGCAGAAATAACTGATGACAAGGGCAGACGGCCGCCTTTCTCTGCTCGTTGTATCTCTTAATGAGACTTAGCCAGCTCCGTTATCAGGAGGAGGGCTGCCACAAAGCCCCCCATTGTCGCCCGCCTGCCC